TATATATATATATATATATATATATATATATATATATATATATATAGGGTGTTTCTTTACCTCCGCCCACGAAGCACATAGCGTTATTTCTTATGAAAAATTGAATCAAAAAGTCCTGAACTATTTTTGTCTTTGATGTTTAACGAGACAGATTTTCTTTAATAAATTCCAGCAAATCCGCGATGTTTTTTAGAAGTATACATGTCTGTGAGCTGCGCACCTGGTAGTTTATGTGAATGCAGCGGTGGAACATTCATGCCACACTATCAGGCGTGCGGCTCACAGACATATATACTTCTAAAGGACCGCACGATTTGTTGGAATTTATTAAAGAATATCTGCTTCATTAAGCATCAAAGATAAAAATAGTTCAGAACTTTTCCATTCAATTTTTCATAAAAAATAACGCTATGTGCTTCGTGGGCGGAGGTAAATACCCTGTATGTATGTATGTGTGTGTGCGTGTGTGCGTGCGTGTACATACAGGGTGTTTACCTCCGCCCACGAAGTACATAGCGTTATTTTTTATGAAAAATTGAAAATATATATAGAGTTGACAGAAAATCTTTGAAAATATTTCTATAAGATCATTATCTACAGTTTAATATTTGCAGTATTTATTTCTTGTTATCATCTCTGTATATAAACGAACCTAATGTGCTGAAATCAGGAATCCTTTTAAACAGCTTTGTTACTCGTGTTTCTAAAAAAGACCAATTCACTGGCTGCACATCATCCTGTGACATCTCCTGCAAGTACCTCACCTAGATGATACAGACATAAAGTTATTTTAACAGTTGAGTTGTTTTAATGTAGACATTATAAATAAATATATAGATGATTATATTATTCTTTTCAATATACACACCACTTTTTGGGCAAAGTCAATGTGATCATAATTGCGCATTCTTTTTGTCAGTGAAATAGCACAAGTTTTTATAACTTTGGAAGAAGATATCATCATTTGTGAATCAATAAGTACTTCTTGTTGATTGCAAACTGAAAATATAATTAGTAAAACACTATCCAAGAAAACAATAAAAATACCAATTTTATCAATGTTCATCTGATATGATTTTATATGTTGTGCTTATATACTACTAGTATACTAATGTATACTAGTATACTAGTTCTTAGAGATATTATGTAGATTATACTACTTATCTATATTAATAAGTTTTTATTATCAAAAAATTTTAATTATAATTTTATTGAGCTATTTTACACTTTATACTTTGATTTTACCATTTTATACTTTTACTATTTTTATACTACTCAGACTTCAATATTTTTGTATACATTGGATGCGTTCAGCAAACTCAATAGTTGCACAATGATTGAGCAATTCGTCAATGTAACTGGTCTAGATTTAGGGATCTAACGGTAAGAACCAATAATCGCTGATTGCTCACTAAGTGCTTTTTCCACTGAATACACCATTAGTATTGATTTTAATTAATTTTCAATATATATGTTCTTTAGGATAACATATTCTGTATAATATTCTGCACAAAGATATATTGAACTTAGTTATATATAGTTACATACCTTTGTCATGTATACTAGTTTCAGAAGTAACATTGTCAACTTCATATATTGCCTCATCTAATTTATTTATTGTAGTACCACTGACTGCTTCCTCTGTAAAATATTCATTAGTTATATACTGCATATAAAGTTTAGAGTAGATACAAAGATACATTACGTAAAATAAGAGTTTGCTCTAAAGCACGTTTCAGACAATCCTTGCGTTCTTTGGCAGATCTCATGTTGGAATTTGAAGAATCTGATGAATTTCGACTACTCGGCATTATGATAAAATCTTCAAGTTTCTTGGATCTGACAGGTTTCTTTCCTGTAAAGAAAAATAAATACATTATTCTAACTGTTATTAAACAAAAATGTGTATTACAATAATATTAAATTAATACTAATATTACTTATAGAAATTTATACACACAACTTCTAATTATTAAAACTATACAAATTTTGTTTAAATAAAACATAACGTAAATCTCACTAAAACATTTAATGTGTAAATCATGTAACATCGCGATGCAGCAAGAAATTTGTTTATTACTTTAGATCTCAATTTTATAGCTATCTATAAGTTTATATGCGTTTAAAAGTAATATATAAAAGTTACATAAATAAAGACAATAAATATTGGTGATATTAGTAGATCTTTACAATGTTTATTCTTTTAATAATTTTCTACTTTCATTTGTGAACTAAATAGAGTTAGGGCTATCGCACACAAATTGACATAACTGTATATGCATAGCATAAGACCGTATGTACCAATGAGCATCGAGTATTAAGTCGCCATATTGGTGTTCGATGCTTAATATTCGATGCTCATTGGTCCATACAATCTTATGCTATGCATATGCAGTTATGTCAATTTGTGTGCGATAGCCCTTATTCCTAACATCTTTCAATCAGACGCCATTATTAAAAAAGTTTTAACCTTAAAGGGCCATCTACAATGAGATTGGCAGTGGGTAGTAAGGTTGCGTTCCAAAACTCTACGGGTAGAATAGCATTTAATTGACCAATAACAAAGATAACTAGGATATCTTTATCATGATTGGTCAATTAAATGTACTCTACCCATCGAGTAGAATTTTGGAACGCAGCCAAGATGTAAGTAGTAAACAGATGTAGTAAACAAATTGACCAATCATAGACCGGATTCATAGTCGAATCATATAGCGTGTTCGATTGGCCCTGGGTTAATCGCTCCGAGAGCGATTAATGACGTCATAAGTCTCTACTAGCCAATCAACTTAAAGCTTATAAGTACTTGTTTGACCAATAAACGTAGGCTGAATAATCCAGAGTGGGTTAACCCAGAGCCAGTCGAACATGCTATTGTAACGTCCGGATCTATTTTAGAACATTAACAATATATTATTATAGACCGGGAGGCCGACTTGTCTGATTTCAGACATCACTAGACATTTTATCCCTATGTTATTAGATGTAAGTACGTGCGCATATGTATATTCGCGAGCGTTAAAACATTATAATTAAAATGCCGAATGCTGCGTGCTGCTGGAGAGTCTTGAAATCGATGGATCAACCTAAAGAAACCGTTATCGCTCAGTGCGATAAGCTAACATAAACAGGAGCATGAAAGCCGAATCCCAAACACCACTCAGGACAGCGACGCAGTGATTCATGCCAAAGGAATGAATCTCTTCCCTCGCCATGACTCCATGGACCAATCGGAGAACGACTCTCAGCGACAAAGCGACATATAAAAACGCGCACATTTGTAGAGAAGGCAATTATTTTCTTCTCATAATTAGTCTCTAGTAGCTTTCGTGTATTTATTCAGAATATTATAATTAGTCGTAAAATCCGACTGTGTTGCAATTACTTTTGCCTACCCTTCATATTTCAAACATTGCGAAATCAAAATTCTGCATCGCGGGCCGCATCAACCCACGTAGCGTCGGAACATCCGAGGCCGAACCAGGAGAATAAGCACCGCTGATTTTTCGCCAGATTCATCAATCGTTTCGCCAGACTCCGGAGACCCAGGGTAAACTCGGTGAAAAGCAGAGTGACCCAAAAACAGAGTCATCACTCTGTTGACCGTCCACGTAAGTCACTGATTTCACTACTTTCAAATTTCCCTATATAGTTATCTATCGTGGACGTAACACTATAATTCTACTCGAGCATCGAAAAGCAGGGTAGCAATCATGAATCTTTTCCCCTAATGTAAACTCGTGAAAAGTGAAAATTTTGTAATGAACTCATGAAAGATGAAAACCTTCACTAAATTCGTACAAAATGAAAGATTTAACGTAAATTTGTAAATAAAACAAATATTACAATATACTCAAGGTAACACCAATTTGCAATGAACATCTTTAGAATTTTTTCAGCATGTTTTTAAGACATAGTGATGTCTTTAGAACGTCCTTTGAAAGTCTGCTTGTCTGGGATTACTTTAGCATAAATTATTAAAAGATAAAATATTCTATTCATATTAAAATTATAAATCTGCAGAAAATATATATTTCATATAAAATAATATATAAAATACATGCAATAAATACATAACATAAACTTTTATTTACTGCATACAGTTTATAATATATTACACTTTAACTTTCTGATACATACGTATCTTAACTTTGCAAACTTCGTCGGTATGCTTTCACTGCCTATACGTCATTGGCTGCATTCAGCAGACTCAACAGTTGCACAAGGGAGCGGTGCACTTGGACACGGTGCATTTGGACACAGCCAATCACAGCACCGTGTGATTAGAGACATTTGTAGGGTTCCTTGGAACAGCGACTTGTGATTGGACTGTGTCCAATTGCCCCGTGTCCAACTGATATACACCCGTTGCACAACAGTTGAGTAATTTGTCAATGTAATTGGTCTAGATTTAGGGATCTAATAGCAAGAACCAATAATCGTTGATTGCTCACTGAGCGCTTTTTCTACTGAATGCGCCCATTACTTCAATTGGCTTTCGTTGTTCATTTTTAATGGACGTAGGATTCTTATGTCAAATGCCAATTGTCGTATAATACGACAATAAAAATTAAAGTCACTATAAGAAATTCTATTCACTTTGTACATAATATGCGAGTGTAGTATTACATTATTTTTCACATTTAAACCACATCGCTTGTTGCTTAAAAATTTTCATGGAAACTTACACAATTTACATGTAAAGAAGAACATATACGAGCAAACTGAAAGTTCACGTGAAATATTTCACGTTTTGAGAATTCACCTTTCACGGTTAACGTTCGTCTCATTTATTAAATTTATTCATATTGTATTATTATATTATATTATAATTATAAATTTAAGTTGTATAATGCTTATTAATGTGTTATATATTACATTGTGAATACTGTAATTACATTTTAATTTTAATAATCTATAGTACATAAATATTGCTTTCCACATTTTCATTGTTCACTTTTCATGTGAAATAACTTACAATGAAAAGTGAAAAATGGAAATGAACTTCACGTGAAAGATTCATGATCGCTACCCTGTACTGAGTTGTCTTAAACCATGAAGATACTAGATGATTGTGCCTATTACATTTTTCGACCCTAATGAAACTAACTCATACTCGATTTAACGTAAACCCAGTGTAGAATCCTAAAGACCGCACGTAGAAAAATTTTAACCGTAACCGTAAGGTCGTAAGAAAACTGACCAGAGTTGATTATTCTCTCTGCGTTTGAGGAATAATCGACTGTGATTGGTGAGTTTTCTTACGACCTTACGATTACGATAAAAATTTTTCTTTTAAGCCCATTCTACAATTGCGTAAGTGTAGTCGTGATCGTAAGAGTCAACCAATCCGAATGTTTTATTTACTGATTGCTTTATTCTGATTGGTTGTCGTAATCACATACAACCACTTACAACTACGTTCACGCAATTGTAGAATGGGCTTTAAAGGCCTTTGCATGTAGAAAAATTTTAACCGTAACCGTAAGGTCGTAAGAAAACTGACCAATCACAGTCGATTATTCTTCGAACGCAAGGAGAATAATCAACTCTGATTAGTCAGTTTTCTTACGACCTTACGGTTACGGTTAAAATTTTTCTACGTGCAAAGGCCTTTAGGCAAAGGCCTTAACAAAGAGGAAAAGAACGCCACAAGACAGTGAATAACATGACGCGTCACATAGTTCGAAACTGGGAATTAATTGATTCTTCAGATGAAGAAGAGATGCTTGTAATGTTGCAACCACCCTTAAAAACTACCCAGATAGCACAAAGAAAATAGAATTCAAAAAGAATTCAATCGTATGTCACCAATTCTGAGTTTATTTTCAGATGTAAAAAGAATTCTTAAGAGTCCAGTTCAGTGAAAAGAACTCTTTTTGTATCTAAAAATGAATTCAGTCGTATGTCACCAATTCTGAGTTTATTTTCAGATGTAAAAAGAATTCTTAAGAGTCCAGTTCAGTGAAAAGAACTCTTTTTGTATCTAAAAATGAATTCAGTCGTATGTCACCAATTCTGAGTTTATTTTCAGATGTAAAAAGAATTCTTAAGAGTCCAGTTCAGTGAAAAGAACTCTTTTTGTATCTAAAAATGAATTCAGTCGTATGTCACCAATTCTGAGTTTATTTTCAGATGTAAAAAGAATTCTTAAGAGTCCAGTTCAGTGAAAAGAACTCTTTTTGTATCTAAAAATGAACTCAGAATTGGTGATATACGACTGAATTCTTTTAGAATTCTCTGTGCTAGCTAGGCATCTTTAAAATTGTGCCATTTTTCTGTTTAACTCCATATCTAAAATAAATATGTAATCCATTTTATCTGAATAACTACAATCATATCATAATTACTTTAATTATATTGAGTTTTACCTTAATAGGTATTTTACCTTACAGGTATTTTGCCATTAAGTTATGCTGCTTGTTTATTTATTTGAAAATTCCAACCTATTCTTACTCGTATACGTCGCCATATTGAGTTACACCGCACTAGCTAGGGCAGACAGTACAGTGTTCTGTTGTATTGAGTACCGCTGCACTGAGAAAAAGAACAGCGATGATGACGTCATAAAGTCGCCGTAATCGTTGAAAAGAACACTTTAGTGTACACTATTTGCACCAGTGCAGAGGAAAAGAACAGACCTAAAATGAACTTATGGCTCCTGTACACAGGACGCGGTAATGCTTACCGCGCGGCGAAAGTTCGTGTGACAGCCAATCAATATACTGCTTTCCGTAATAATCTTCTAGCTCTTACGGAAAAACAACATATTGATTGGCTGTCACACGAACTTTCGCCGCGCGGTAAGCATTACCGCGTCCTGTGTGCAGGAGCCATTAAGTTCAATTTCTTTAAGATTGTCGAGTTGCACTCTTAATTCTTGAACTGCACAGTGGGGCCATTCGGTATGCGTTGTTTCAAAAATATCTAAAGCCCTTGGATTTCAACCGATTTTAACGTTTTTTTTTATGACCGTCTTGAAATTTGCAAGAGATCTATCGAGGCCGATTTTTAAAATAATTTTTTAGAAATTATTTATACATATAAACACAAAAACTTTTTCTTGAAAGTAAACTGAGCAATTTAAATGGAGTGATAAATGATTCTCGAGTGTATATACATATGTTAAAAAAACATGTATATGTACACTGGGAGCGTCCCGATTGACCACGATACGATTAGACACAACTAACCGATGAAAAGAATTATCTAGTGAATTACTAGGTCGAACCAATCATTACAATCTGTGTCCAATCGTATCGTGGTTAATCGGGTCCCACCCATGTACACTCGTGGTTTAAAAGGTTTGTGCATCGATTTTTTGTAGATTTCGGAACGCGTCCCAACTTCAGGAGAGAGACAACCACTGCTTGACACGCCAGCGCCGCCACTTATTACGAGAGCAGAAGCATGGCATATACCGTATATGCCGCCAGCGGCGCTGGCGTGTCAAGCAGTGGTTGTCTCTCTGCTGAAGTTGGGACGCGTTCCGAAATCTACAAACAATCGGTGCACAAACCTTTTAGATCACGAGTGTACATATACATATGTATATATAACATATACAGGGTGTTCCATTAAAAAAAAACATACCCTGATAATTCTTCAGCCAAGCATATTCAGAAAAAATGTTTCCGACAAAAGTTATCGGGTTTAGAGGACAAGTGAGGGTGACCTTGACTTTGACCTTGGAAGTCATTGTGAAGGTTATTCGAAGGTCAATTTTGCTTTTTAAATAGAAACATCTATTTTTTATTACGGAGCTTTATTGCACATAAAGAAGCTAACAATTTTTGTTTGAAAAATTTTCTATACTCTATTTTCTAAGATATTTACGAAAACATCTACAAAATTATTGGTTTCAATTTTTTACTCGAAGTCTATCAATTTTATCGAAAAATAGCGGGAGATAAAAATTGTTTATTTTCTTCTCATAAAACTCTGAGAATTTTTTCAGAATTTTTTATAAACTTTTTAGTACTTCAAGAAAATGCAAGAAAATACAGTACTAAGAAATTAATCAACAACTTTTGTTTGAAACATTTTTGCAGAATATGCCTGGCTGAAAAATCAGAGTGCGTTTTTTAAAATGGGATACTCTGTATATGTATATATACATATATGTATGTATGTACATATACATGTTTTTTTAACATATGTATATATATTCGAGAATCATTCATCACTCCATTTAAATAAATTGTTCAGTAATCTCAGTTTACTTTCAAGAAAAAGTCTTTGTATTTATATGTATAAATGATTTCTAAAAAAATTATTTAAAAAATCGGTCTCAACAGATTTCTTACAAATTTCAAGATAATCATTTAAAAAAAAATGCGTCAAAATCGGTTGAAATCCAAGAGCTCTATTTTTGAAACAACGCATGCCGAATAGCTCCACTGTGCGGCGTTCCTTCCCTTACGAAAAAAAATATGAAAAAACCTCAATTTTTAGTGTTAACACTCAAATTTAGGTGTTTATCCCCAGTTTTTGGGTATTTACACCCAAAATTGAGGGTTTTTTCGTGTTTTTTTCGTAAGAGTTAGCGCAAAAATCCTCAGCGAAACAGAAAAATTTGTATTTTTGTTCTGTAAAAGTGTTTTTAACTTTATGAAATCGAAAAATAGCGACAAACTGCATTGTATGGATATCCAGTATCATCTCAAAGGACGAAAATTCCAAAGAGCTGTAGAATAAACTCAAATAAAGAAAAACATTAATTTTAATACTTTTTATTGAGTGCTCGATGGGGTATTTAATTATTTGTTGGGTTGTGAGAGATATAATCTAAAAAAACTATTGGAAAATTAGGTTGGTATATTTTTATTTTCCCTTTTTTTTATGATGATAATAATATAAACAAATTTCCATTATTTTAACAATGATTTTTTTCAAAATATATTACAGATTTTATAATACTTATGCTACAAAATCGTTTATAGTAACGATTGATTCCTAAATCTTAGTCACGCCCGCGTGCTTTTGTTGCCTATTATCTGTGCTTTGCATTTCGTATATTATATATATTCAATATAAAACGTTACATAATATAAACCTCTTTTTTTATTAAAAAGCTCAACAAATTGCATGCAAATAATACGTACAGATTTTTTAACAACCCACTATATTAAATAGCAACCTGTTTTTCATTATTTTATTCCCAGTTACATTAATGCTTACAGCTACTTGTAATTAAATAAATTATTTGTATTACTTGAAATTTATATATATAATTTGTAGTTAAAAATAAAATAAGAGAAAGAGTTGGAGTACGATATATATATTTTCATTCATGTATAAATTTTCATGTTAGTTTTAAGTCTAAAAATAATATTATTTAAATTTATATTATGAACTTTCTTCAAAAATTTATTTTGCATTTATTCAAATTTAATAAATTATATTCACATCTTTTAAAATGATATGTGAACTTTAGTTTTAGAAAAATTTTGATTTTTCAAGGAATATTCTTGTATTATATTTTAGGATAAACATGATGAGATTGCAAGATTTGATGCATTAAAATCTATTTATAAATCCTGTATAAACTATCGATATCTGCCTACGGGCATTAAGTTGGTTGTAGAGAAAGAAATAAGAAAGCAACTTAATATACATATATTTTGTATTCACTTTAAATAAATTCTTTTCAGCAATGTTGAAATTCATTCTTTCTTTCTTTTTCTCAATTATATAACGATATTTTCATAGTAATATTTATTCTTAAAACTATTCAATGAAATGCAATTAAATAAATAAGCGATATTTTAAAGCATATTCTATATATAACTGAAATTAAGTATACTTGTTATGCATACACAAGAATATCCCGCAATGAGTAGCATAATCAAAAAAGAATAATAACCATCCGAGATAAGTTTAGCGACATTGAAAATCATCCAAGTACAAGAAAATGAAAAAAGATGTTAATTTTTCAAATGTTTAAAATAAATTAATAATAATTTTCGAAAAAATAAATTTAATTCTATATTCTCAACTCATCTTTTCATGTAAAATTACTTTCTTCTCGGTTTTGTGTCACTGATACTCATTGCGGTAATCCCTTAATTATCCTTCCTCACGTATTACTTTATACAATAAATACCATACTTACAAATAGCACAGATTCACTAAGGCGTAAGATTTAGGAATCCTTGAAGTCTTTTTCCTGTATCGGTTATGTAATGAGATGAAAGTTATCAACAAGATGAAGATATACGCCTGCAGATTTAAAAAGCTAACACTTGCGACGGATTTGTACAGTCGCCTATTGTCATTCTATGCATTGCCATTTCCGTAATACCATGGTAATGAACAAAAGCAGCTGCAATCACTAATACATGGAAGATTTGGTGACTCTGAAACTAAATTTGAAATATATTTGTAATATATATATATATATATATATATATATATATATATATATATATATATATATATACATAAAAAATTAGTTAATATTTTAATAAATCTTACCCAAATATCAAATTTTCCTGGAAAAAAACGTTCAGGTACCCTCAAAGCATAAAACAATGCGCCTAATATGTATAAACATCCCATTAGTATTAACCATCCAAGGGATGCTTGACTAATTGCCTTGAACCAACCTTCAGCGACAGCATAATGGACTGCTGGTATTACCTACATGAAAATATCTAGTGTAATGTATATATACTTTTTATAAATACATACGCATATTATATATATACACACATATATATATATTTAACAAATTACTTACCCCACTAAGCCCAAATCCCATAAAAACTCCTGCTCTAAGTGGACGATAGTTTGGTTCGCCAAATCGTTCCCATAATGATACTACGATACTGGTTATACCAAGGACAACCACCACAGACAGATAAATTAGTTTAGGTTGATAGTCGCAATAAAATCCGTAATAAAGCCATGGTACAAAACTACCCATAATAAGCATAGCTATGCCACAATAATCTAACTTTGAAAATAGCTTTCCAACACATTCGCTGTGGCAATGAACTGTGTGAAAGGCAAACGACATTCCTAGGCAAATTATAGCACCAGCAAAGAAGGTACCAAATACCAATTTTTCTTCCAATTGAATTTCTATAGGAGGTTGTGTTAGAAAAAATATAGCTATACCAATAAAGGCAACGCAGCCTGTAAAGAATAAGATATCTTATGAGCAGAATTCACATAACCAAAAGTCACAGAATATGCTTGAAAGAATATGTAGCTACCATATATGCTTCTTTCCAGAAAGTGCACATTCAATACATTCAGTGTCTTATTTAGTATTTTGTGTCAATAGAAAAGCGCTTACCTAGCAAGTGTGTCCAGATATTGCCAGTTTCAGTATGAATTCGAAAAATACTTTTAAAGCACGCATAAAACGAAGGTAGAGGCGGCCTATGGCCGGCATGCAAGAAGTCATTATCTTGCAACCATCTTGGCAGATTTCTAAAGTGACATTGTTTCCAGGATGCCTCCCATACCTGTCAACAAATTACTATATATGTAAGTAAATCAAGAGACAATTTAAATGCCAACAGCTATCTTAAACTAATATCATTATATAACAGAAATTCATCCTGATTGTATTAGTTAGCTTTTCTTTTTAACTGTAGCATGGAAATATGTTCTTATTCTATGACACTATTGTTATAAACATTTTTTTACCTTTCGAACAAATTCTTCAGCTTGTTCTGCTGCATTGTGTGCTAATGCTCCTAAATCAATTTCATCACTCAATACACCTGCTTTCAATACTTCAGTCATCTGTAATTTGGATGAGACTCATGATTGTTTGATATATATAGTCAAACATTATTACATTCATATTCTAACAAATAAACAAGAAATTAAACCTCGCAATCCAGAAGATGATCATCTTCTGGAGTTGAGGGTAAAGGGCATCCAGCTCCATCTTCCTCTTCTGCCAAACAACTTGCATCATCATCTTCTAATAACTCTTTAACTTCATGTAAACCAGGTATTTCACTATTTAATAATACACGATCACTCCATGGAATGCGATGTCTTACTCCTAAATCTGTCGACAAGTTTTCTTCCTTTTCTTTAGCTTCCAGAATAACATCTTCATAGTGCGACATGATTCAGAGTAAACTTATTCGATTTCAACTCTGTGAAAATATTTATTAAGATAGGTTGTGTATGTGTGTGTATTTGTGTGGGTATTTTAATATTTTATTTTGCACAGTATAGTTGCTCTTTATTTAAAAAAATTTTTATTAATATAAAAAAAGAAACTTTTCTTTTTGAAAATTAAATATATACTAACTTTCTCACTGACACATAACATTTTTAATCATATATCTATGATATAATATTATTTTCAAACATTTATAAATATTTCTTGTGTTTATATTACCAAGTTTGTCTTTATTACAAATTTATATATATGTATGTACGATAAGCTAAATGTTATATCTTGTACAATAGTTTCTATAAGAAATAAGTATTATGTAATACTAAATAATAAATGAAGCACTTTTGTATGTATAAGCAACACAAAAAGAAAAATACTAAAGTTATTAGATAAAAAGAGACAAATTTTGACAAATCTCAGTATAACTAGTATCATATAATAAATAGTAAATTGTTAACATATATTTGGCGCTTGGAAAGAATGGATTACCTCGAATTAAGTCCATTTAGCTTAATAGCAATATACTCATACATTAAAATGTACTGATATTTTGTCTATATAAAGATTGCGACTTATTATGTAAGACACGACAAATTTGTATCCCGGATATTATACATCGTATCAATTGACCATTTAACCTTTTTAGAGGAAGGATTATTTTTATTTAACATTCATATTCTCTGAACTACGTAAGCACGGTAGCTTACCGTAGGTAATTGTGAAAGATAATACATTATAAAGAGATACTATTGACGTAAAATAAAATGTAATTGTGTATAATTGATAAAATGTTATTGCTACGAGCATGACACGAGTGTAATTTCCAATGCTTACCAGCCACACGACGATTCTTGCGATTTCTTCACATTTACGTAAACATACCTTTGAAATTTTTAGACTGCAAAACTATAAGTGGCTTAAAAAATCACGTTTTATACTTCGTTGTAAACGTTTATACACGTTAATATAAGTACAATTATACAATGGACAATGTACACACGTATATGCATAAATACGTAATGCATAGAGAGCTAAGTCCACTTGGCACAGTGGAGACTTGTGAACGTTTTAAGGTCGTTCCAATGGCTGCGTTCAGCAGAGAAAGCTGCTTTGCAACTGTTATAAAATTCGCCAATCTGATTGGAGTATGCTCTTAATTTGAGTTAAATTCAAGAACATGTACCAATCAGATTTTACACAGTTGCAAAGTAGCTTTCTGAACGCAGCCATTGACTTGGTTTACATCGTATATTTGATACGCCTACTAAATAGTAACTTTCTATTAAATAATCTTAATATCGACAATGTATATAAACAACAATATATTAAGCTGATATAATATTCATCAAGAAGACGTATTGTCCTGGTTTACATCGTGCACTTGATACGCGTACTAAATAGTAACTTTCTATTAGATAATCTTAATATCGACAATACATATCAACAGCGACGCATTCTATCAATACAATAAGTTTTGTTGATGAGTATTAAACTAGCTTAATATACCGTTGTTTATATATATATCGTCGATATTAAGATTATCTAATAGAAAGTTACTATTTAATACGCGTATCAAGTGCACGATGTAAACTAAGCCATTAGATAATCTTAATATTGGTTGCTTTCCAACAAGAGACACAAGTCGACACAAACTAGAGGTGCCCGATTCTTAATCGATTCGATTCTTTCCCTAACAAATTTAGGAAAAAAAGGGTTGTTCTTGTTGCTTGCATATTTCATACTTTTTGCTTTTAAAAATAGATGGACGCCTAATCAGACGCTTGGAAGAAACAATCGAGTTGGTTGTCTCGTTTTTGCTTCTTCGAAACATTCCAATATATTTCTGTCTAGTTTTAAATACGAAAAGTGCGAAGAGTGCAAACAACACGAATAAGCCTATTTTTTGGGAAAGAATCGAATCGATTCAGAATCGGGCATCTCTAACACAAACGGGTGGGACCCGATTGACCACGATACGATTGGACACAGATTGTAATGATTGGTTCGACCTAGTAATTCACTAGATAATTCTTTTCATCGGTTGGTTGTGTCCAATCGTACCGTGGTGAATTGGGACGCTCTCAGCTCAAGGGCTACTAGTCGGTTATGTAAACTAGTGTTTTTTAATGACAATTAAAGTTAATAAGCGTAGCGGCTTGAAAAAAAACTGGGTGCTTTCCAATTGCTTAATACATCTTGGCATACT